GTTCGGAAATCCTCTTTCACAGACTGCAACCCACGTGTTGTTTTTTCCTTACTTTGCCATTCCAATTCCCTGCCCATCCTGCTGTATAGGCAGTGAGCAACCAACTAGCTGGGCGCTTACCTTCCCTGCTGGGTCAGCAGACTGCACCCCAGCAACATGTGCTGCTGAAATGGGTGCAAAATATCCTCCGCACAATTTGTCTCTGCTGAGAAAATCTCAGTAACAAAAGTTTAAATCCTACAAAATCCATGGAAAAAAAAAACCACAAGAAAATAATTTAAAACATTTATTTGAAACACAAGCGTTACAGACTAGAGGTGGTCTGGAAAATAGTATCTTGCTTTGCTCTTATTACAAGACAAACCATTTTTCCCCGTTTGCTTTTCTTTTCTCAAGGCCCGAATGTCACTGAACTCTCTTCTCAGCTTGCCCGTTGGGCACACCGTGGCAAAGATTGGGGTCACTTCTTTTGGCCGTTCTACAGATTGGAAAACACAGCATCTTTTTCATCCTTTGCAGGAGGAAAGCAACCGCTCTTGCTTCATCAGGTGGTTCTTCACAGACAAGTTGTTTCCTATCTCCATAGGCAGACATAATAACAGCTTGGAAGAGGTTGATCAAAACACAGGTCATCACCAGCAGGAAGGAGGTGAGGAAAAAACCACCCATCAGCCTGCTGGATGAAAATGCAGTATCTCTGAAAGCAGACACGCAGTAAGAGAATACGGTCTGAGCTGAGTGAATCATATTATTGTAATTCCATTCATGCTGGCCAAACACAAGGTAGCCAAGAGCCATAAAGATAGAGAAGTACACCACCACCACAGAGGCCATTGAGGAGATCCCAGGAAGGGCTGCCAAGATTGATCTCTGAGCCAGACGCACCTCATAAAACAATTGAGAATACTTTAGTGTCTTCAAAACTGCAAGAAATGCCAAAAAGCCCAAAGTATTCCTTAGATTCTGATCTAGATGAGAAGCTGCATGAAAAGGAATGAAATCGTTTGGATAAAGTAAGAAAAAATGAACGATATCAGCTCCCATCTTGAACTTTAAAACCTGGAAAGGAACAATCAGGAAGAATGCCAATTTTAAGATGAAGCTGATTGTCCTGGAAATATTTTTTTTTCCTTGGACCATGCTGTAGAGGCCATCTGCAACGTACATGAGCAGAAAGGCAACAGCAGCTAGGAAAAACAATTGTTGACCTTTAGTTTGCTGATGGAAAATGGGGACAGCAAATGAGTGTACTGACAAAGTTGGTTTTATGATCCCAAAATCAGACAGTTCAAATATGACTGAAATGCTGCAAAAGAGATCTCCATCAGACATGAACGTAGTCAGTTCGATGATCACAGCCCAGGTCTTTTCATCAAGCCAGTTGCTCTCCTGCAGCAAATCCAGCCTTGTTGTTGAATTACGTCTTCCTTCTTCAGGGAAAAAGTAAAACGTGTATCCTCCTGGTCCATATGTGTGCAGATCTCCGTATGAGAAGTAAGTCCAGGGAGCCCTGTTTGGTTGGTAAGTAAACCCAGGGTAACTGCTGGTTTCCTCGGAAAAAGAACGGTTGGCGACTTTTGTCCACGTGCCAGCATAGTCACCTTTCTCTTCGAGGTCCCTGCCGTATTTGTGAAGGCAGTGGCTTTTACTGATTACAAATTTATTTACAAAGCTGTGAGGGTGGAAACACGTTTTCTCAGTACCTTTAGCCCGCACTTGCCTCATCCTAGGCAAACCGATGATTTTGGATGAGCTGTCGGTAAGAAAAGTTGGCTGAACGTCGTTGTGGATCAAAGGCAAGAAGGTGTCGTTCACCCACGTGTAAATATCTGCCAGCTTAACCACAGCAGGGAGTCTGGGAGAGAACTGGTTCCGAATAAATTGGTTGTAGTGGAAACTGTTAGTGTTCTCAGTAGAATAAGCAAAACATAAGACAACTGCTAAAACCACAAGGTGACCGATAACATCTTTTATGAAAATGAATGCCCTGACTTTAATTTTTGCCGTTTCCAGCATCTTTGCAATTTCCCCATCTTTTAAAGGCTTGTACTGCTTGGTGTCTCTGATCTGGGCAAGCTTGAAGTGCTTCTCCCGCATCTCTTCTTCATTCATTGCTTCCTTTTCTGCTTTAATCTCAGAAGAGAGATCCTGGGTAAACCATGGAATGTTTTCACAGTATTTTGGACGAACTGTTTTCAAAGCTGAGTAACAACTGATTTTTATGATTGAAACAAAGAACACATTTTGAATAAAGGAAGTTGCCGACGCTAAAAGCCACTCCAGCGAAGTCTGGTAGCCGTAAGACAGACCATACAGTACAATGAAAAATGACGATACCCCACTTACAATTATCACTAACACCCACGAGAGATAGACACACCACCAACAACAAACTATGGGTGGTCTCTTGCAAAAAGGCACAGAGCTAACGCTGAGTAGCTTGCTTTCTTCCTGCAAGTTACCTGCTTCCTTTGCGCCGTTATTGCTGAAATTGGAATTTGACGGTACTCTTCTCTGCCTGGCCTTAACCTTTGGACGGGAATTCTTTCCTGTTTGCTCCTTGTCTCCGGCGGTACTTGCACCTCCTTCAGAAACTGGGCAGTTACTGCTGTTCTGGGGAGCTCCCTGGCTTCTCGTCTTTCCCTCAGTTCTTCTTCTCCTCAAGTTATGCGTCGGGCCCTGAGAATCGCTGTGAGCAGCAACGTTCTCCGGGGAACTAATGCTACCAGATTGTGCTGACGTTTCTGAACGTTTCCTTTTTTGCAAATGTACTCTCCAGGTTTTAAGATTCCCAGGAAGCAGAGTTAGACTTCTCTCTGGGTTCTTCTGGGAATACTTAAATAAGGCCATTATAATCATTTCCACAGGTACTGTAATCAAAGCACATTCAATGCCTATGGCAATTGATCTCAAGTACCTCAGGTGTCTTGGAGATTCTTCATCCCTGTCAGCACTAAAGAACATAATGTTAACAGACAGGTTTAATAATAATATTGTTAGACAGGAAGATAACCTTTGGAGCCTGCTATAAGTGCCAGTGAGAACCTGAGCAAAAACGGAGAGCCATAGATGGCCCTCTTTCAGACCACTGGCCAGATCAATCAAAAAATAATCCTTTCTGGATAGAGGTGCTTTTGGGTTGGTGACGGAAAATGTCCTTTCTAGTAAGCCATCTCCCTTGTCAAGGGCAAGCCATTTCCTGCACATAAAGAACCAGGTCTTCCGAGCGGACACGTGTTCAACTTTGGCTCTGCTTAAGAACCAGCCTGGCGATGGGCCTCTGTTGTTGTGCCAGACCCTGAAGGCGCGGATGTCTCCCAGGTCTTCCTTCGTAGTCAAGAGAAAACAGTCAGTGCTTCCTCGACGGAAAGCAGGAAACTGTGGATGCCGCAAGCAGTGGATATCACTTGTGCCGTTCTGGCCGATGAGCTGAAGAAAAACATCTGCGCTGGTTCCAGCTCCCCAGCGACTGCCGGTGTACAAAGTGACCAAAAAGCTGACTTTATCAAAGGGGTCGTTGTCGGGCAGAACTATAATTTTGTCTTTGCTGACCATCTCAGCCCTGTCTTTCCGCACGGCCCAGAGAGACAAAAGAAAGTAGGCTGCAAAAATGAAGAGCACTGTTAGAAGGGTCACGGGGTTCTTAGGGATGTCCGCTATTAGGTTTCCTTTGAGATCTACTCTGTTGGGGGTCACAATGACTTTGGCTGCCAGGAACTTGATGTCAAATGTGGATGTATTTGAAGCAGTGAGGACTGACCGGCTCCTGTGACTCCGCTTCATGCTGCAGACACAGTGTACCCGTTGCCAGTTGGTCAGGGAACCAAGTCTGCACGTGTCCTCCCTCCACTGATTTTGAACTCCCCCCAGAAACAAGCAGTGATCGCTAAAAGTGTGTATGCTCACCAGCCTCATGTTTGGATACCTTGTGATGTAGGGGGTCAGCAAGACGATGGAAATGTTCTGACTCTGAGCACCGCTTCCTTGAGCTGCGACGTTCAGCACTGACTCGGTGAGGCAGATGATGTAAGGAGCCTTGATGTTACACTCTTCATCCACTGCCTTGGTTTTGCTTGCCACCGTTGTCATGTTGTGAAAAGCATCAAAAGAGGCGATGGGAAAATTCTGAGTGACATTAGTGCCAGTGAACACGAGCACCTGGAAAGCCACTTCTAATTTGGTCAGGATCTGGATGTATATGATCTTGGTATCTCTGTTCACCTCCAGACTAAATCCTCCGGTTGTGTAGGTTTGTGTTTTATCAGGTCCCATTGCTAACTGAAATGTTAATGATTTGGTATCTTTCCTAGCAATAAGGACGTTTGCTTCTTCAGGCAGGATCCCTAGCAGATCCCCATTAGCCTTGGCCTCTGCCATTTTGAAGCCCAAGATGGCTGTTGCAATTCCTGAAGTATAATTCAACCAAGGGAAAGGGTTTTCATCAAACTCAAACAGGGCAGTGGAAATGACGGCATTGTAAGACAACCTTGAAGAGTTTCCAGTTTTTAGTGTTGGATAGAAACAATTCCTGCAGGCTTCTGTGGTAGAGAAAGCATTTGCAACATCCCAGTTTTCGTCCTTCATCAAAGTGATTTTCCAGTTGCTGGTTTCCATGACAGTGTCTTCCTCCCCAGGGACTTTGCCTTGGAAAACAATCTCAGTTAAGTTTTCCATGATGGAGAAGACTTGCGTGACTGCACTAACATTGACCTTCCTGCGACGCAGAAGAGCAGCGCTTAGGATGTTGGACAAGCATTTTAGAATTCCAGTGGTCTGAATTTCTGTTTGTTCAGACCAGCGGCTCTCATTCCTCTGTGTTTTCAACACCCCGGTTACTTCAGTCAGTTTTGTAATGGCAATCTCTTGCGATCGAGCATTCACTTCCTCAGGTTGCTCTGTGACTTGAAAAAGAGACGCTACCACTTGGTTAATTTCCATCGTGCTCTCAACCGAAATATTCAGAGCTGCCTTAAGCAGGCTTTCCCTCAACTGAGCCTTGGGTATTGGGAGTGTTGGTGCGGCTTCGATGTAGTTTAGGACAGAAGCTGCAAGATAAGCCAAATAACCCGCATTAAAATAGTCTCCGGTCTGGAGATAAGCTGTCATGGGCGCACTTAAACCACTCACTGAGGCAAACAGTTCATGAAACACAACAGCTAGCGGTCGACTTCTCACTGGGTTCTGTGCTCTGACATGCAGACTCACTTGGGTAAACGCCCCCAGAGAGTCACACACTTGAACGTACAGTGTCAGAGCGTACCTCCGAGAGGGGACACCAACTGGGAGGGGAGATGGAGGCATTCTAGGCTGGTAGCCAAAGTACACAATTGTGCCAAATGTGTTGTCCTCCACCGAGTTAATTTTGGCAGTTTTGGATACGTCGGAAGCTACTATGACTTTGTAAGTCAGGGGTAAGTTGCTGTCCGAAAATCCACTGCACTGGACAACAAATTTTGTCAGGAAAGCTGTACCGCGGTGTGGGCTGACGCTACACTTGCCAGCCCTGGGTGGAGAGTTTACTTTAAATGCATATCTGTAGAGGGATGACCTACCGCCCCAGGTAGTCACTTGTAGTAGCAGTATGTATGATTGATCTGCAGTACTGGTAAAAGTCAGAGCATGTATAGAAAGGTACGCACCAAACTCACCTGTTGAGGTTGTGGAAGACCAGTCAAAGCTAATTTCTGAAGAATTTTCCATCCAAAGCGATGAGTGGTGGACTGGCTGGCTGCTTGTTTGACAGTTGAGGCATTTGCCTGACAACGTAAACCTCTCTGTCGGAATTACAGCGCTGCCACAGTTTTCAAGGCACGCCACATCCAGGAGAGGTGAGAAGCCAGACTGCACGTTTACGCTTTGGTCGGCATAACTCTGTCTTCTATCCTTTTGAATGACTAAACGGAAGTGGTAGACAGTGTTTCCCGGGAGCGATTCCGGTGCTAGCACTTGAACAGCCCCTGAAGACGTCAGCCACCTCAAATCCCTCTGGGCTGGATGACATTTATTTCCCGCACTGATTCTCATGCTTTCATAGTCCAATAGCTTCTTAGTGCAGTACCAAGTAAACGTGAGTCCCTTTAGTCGTTCCGGTGAATCGGGGTCGTAGGACACGGAGCCATCGAGAGTCCAATTATCAAAAAAGCCCACTGTCCGGAAGTTGCCTCCTGCAATACTTGCCACAAGATCACTTCTCTCTATCTCTATGAAAACCCTGTCTGTCTTACTGAAGGATCTTTTGGTCCCGAGCACATATACTGAAGCAGTAAAGTAGACCTGATACATTCCATAATCCAAGGTCCAGCTGGGAACCGTTAGCTGTACTGTGTTGACACCGTGCATCGCTGATATATTTAAAGGTTGGTCCCAGTCTGGATTAGTTTTCATGTCCTTAACAGCATAGAATATCCACTGAGGCTTTATGGACACGTGGAGGTTGCAGTCCACTAGCACTCTGGCATACAGGTAAAACGTTGTCCCCTTTTTCTGACGTATGACAGAGGTATGAAGAGGAGGTTTTTGAATTGTAACCGAGTTTAATTTGCAGGCTGCTTCCTGGTGAAGCACTGCCAGCTCTGTTGCTTTTGAAGTGTCATCCCTGACGCTTGGGAGAGCCGGTGTCAGTCCATTTCGGGTGCTGCTCACTTTTGCCACGAACCCTTGGTGTTTCTCAGGATCCCCGGGGAAAGCAGAGCAATGGAACAAGCAGGCGGCGCTTCTCGTGCCATCACGGTATGTGTGTGAGCTCTTCTGGGCAGCCCACCTTGCTGACATCTCGATGCTCAAGTTGCGATAAAGGCACTCGGGTGCGGCGCATGAGGCAGATGAGCACTGCACTGTAATGAGACTGGAGGCCACCGGCCAGAGAGCGCTTCCCAGGGAGAGGCCTGACTGGAGCGTGAGCTGCCCTGACCAGAGGGAGGTGTTCTTCACCCAACCCCAATTCAGGTACCAGCGGCAGTGCGGCGGGGAGGCAGGCTGCCTCTCTGTGCTCTCTGCCTCCGCTGTCGCTCCTGGGGCTGGCCGGTACCTGTGGAAAGAGTTGTTTCTGCATTGAGCATTGAAAAGTGCAATTGGTCTAAAGAATTAAGCTGTAACATATCCTTAGAAATAACTGATGTGGAAAGTAAGAATACCGTATACATCTTAGGAACATATATTAGGAACATGGCTACCGAATTACCTAACAAACACTTTCTCACAAAGCTGCAATAGGTTTGGAATGTTCTAACCAGTATGGGTACAGTATTCTGAACTAGGAGACATACTGTGAGGTTGTTCATTAGAGCGGCAGAAGCAAAATACATCTAACAGACTTTCAAGGAGTCAGGGCCTTTACACAGAGCAGAACTGTCCCACTCTGTGGGAATGTTAGGATGCCATACACTGGCTCCAAGATACTCCCCTCTATCCTCCTCCCGAGCTTGTCTCTACGCAGGGACAGA